AAACCTGACAGCAAAGTGACAGCAGAGGGATTTAAGATGAGAAAAAGCAATTGTAAGTCTTTGCACTCGTGTGCCCCTTTTCATGCCAGGATCCCAAAGCATTCCATAAATAGTCATCTGCAAACCTCACACTGATCCTGAAGAACCAGTGGGTGTTGTTACCCCATTTGACAGTTGAGCAAACGAAGGCACAGAAAGAGAAGAGTAACTCGCAGCCATCACCATGGCCAAGGTATTGGTAGCATCCCTGCCTCCCCTGCACTTTACCTAGGCTGGTAGAGGCCAACCTTTTTAGCAGATGTATCACAAATTAGCCACCCTCCCCAAGTGCCACGCCAGTTCCCTTCCGCTGCTCAATCTGCAGCTGTGCTTTCTGCTCCCTGCTTTATCTGCTGCTGTGTCACCTGCTTCCTTCCCAATCTGCCACATACCACGCACAGAAGCTGCTCATGCCCTTTGTGGCACATGTGCCCCTCGTTGGCCACCCCTAACCTAAGCTATGCTTTCTGGCCTTTGGGGTGAGGTGGGGCGTGTTTTGTGGCTGCACTAAGGACCTTCCATCTTACACTCCTGTCTTGCACAGGGGCTTGCGTGAGAAGATAGCTTGGCCGAGTGTGGAAACTAAGAGCTCCGAGTTCCTCGCTTTTACCACTAGATCTCTTTTATACAAGTTAAAAAATAATCAATTACAAATTAATCCCCCCAGCGGGGCTATAATACTTAATGAAAGCAGATTAGGGCATCACATTTATGTGAGATTTGGGAAAACAGACCAATGTTTAGCCATGGATTCTTTATACACAGACGTATTGCACAGCTGCCACTTGGCATACATATATTTTTGAAACTTAAAACGCTTAGGCATAAACAAAGAGATTCCTTCTCCTTCGCCACATGAGCCTTTGGAGTAGCTGAGGCAGAGTGCACAACTAACCTATTATAGAACAGAATTGACCCAGAACCAGCTAAAGAGGAAAATCAATATGGTAACCTAATTATCATGATTACATGCATCCAATAAAAACCATGTGAGACAGAAATCAAGCTACACTCAAGTAATGTCTTTTTCTTTAACCTCCCTCCAACTGCGGTTGCCTGCTTTGCTGAATCATTTAAAAATCTGAGACAGACCGCGGGTCGGCGCAGTGGGAGACAGCTTCAGGGGCACTGCCTATATCTGGTGCCCCTGTCCGCTTTAAGGAAAAATGGCTACAGGTTCAGGCAGACTCCACCCCAGGTATTGTTACCAACTGGCAGAGTCAGATTTTGAGAAATGACTTTATATGCGAGCATGACAACCTGTAAAGCAAGAGGAACTTAAAGAGGTTCTAATCAATTGCTTGTTAGCATACTTTTTTGCCCCCCCTGTAAACAGCATCGGAAAACCTTAGAAACTGAAAATCCATTTGCTTTCCAAGGACATTATAGGTATCATCAAAGTTTTATGGCAACAGAAAAGGTCTTCTCACTCCTTGCTCACTAAGAAGAGACTGCTGGTTCTCAGATGATGGGGTTGGGAATTATGCCTGAATACACACAGGCGTCAAGATCTTGCATGATGTGCAGCTATTTTAAAGCGCAAAAGGGACTGACCAGTATTTGAGATACATATCTAGTAACCACTAGGTGGCATAGCTAAATAGGAAAAGGAGCCATCATCTTTTCTGTGGTTTCCTACGGAAGCCTAACCTTCAAGTGTCTAGTCTAGCAGTGCTTCCTTTACAAAAACAGAATCACTCCCTTAGAGACTCTATACCTGCCTTCCCCCGAGCTTGTCCAGAAGCCATCAGAACTATGCACAAAATTTTCTCCTTTAAGCCATCTTGGAAAATAATTAATTCAGCCTTTTGGGTGACAGGGAGAGAAGGAATACGTTGCATATTATGTGACAGATTCGTCACCCATGAGCCTGAAGAATGGAGAGAGCAGCTGATATAGTTGTGTAATGTCTCATATAACGTTTAATTTCTGCAAGGCAATAGGAAGGCTTCGTTCACCAGGATCTTTGTGCCAAGGCTGCATTTGTTAAAGTATTACTTTAGGAGCTCAGCAAAATGGTAGGGGTTTTGTCTGCAAGGGACACCCCATAATGGTATTTTCCCAGAGGGACTGCCTGCAGCAGATGTTTTGTTTAGAGAAAAAAATTCCCAAAATATGTTTCTCTTGCAAAACAAGTAACTTATGGCATAACAAATTGTGTTTGTGTTATTTTTGGAACTGTGACCCTTTTGCATGAAAAACACATCAGCACAAAATTGTCATAGTCTTGACATAGTCTAATTTACTCTATGCTCCACTCTTTGCTCTACAGCATTATAAAAAACTCTTATTATCAGAACAAGGGTCTGCAGTAATAGCTTCTGAGTAGGCCATCTTGAATCTAGATCACAAACTCCAGACCTGAGCAGTTTGAAAGCCAAGATGTGCAAGAAAGCTATTGGTAACAAAATAGCTGTCCTGTTATCAGTGAAGGTAAAATAAAGATTAAAAGTTATTCTCCAAAATAAGTAGCTCAGCCTTACCAGTAATACTACAAAGCTGCTATGCAGAAAACCCTTCTTTACCCACTACTAGTAATCTTCATATGCCTTTTAGCAAAGAGGTTAATTAGCAATAATTATCTGTTTGCATAATTACAAGAGTTAATAGCAAAGAGAAAATTCCACCACAATGTGTTAACCAGGGGTGGCCAACCTGAGGCACACATGCCACACGCGTAATAGAAAGCCTGTGTACATGGCACATGACAGACTGGGTGAGGACAGGCAGCACAGCAGCAGATAGGTCAGGGAGCAGAAGGCAGAGCAGCAGACCAGGCAGAAGTAGATCAGAGTGGTACTTGGGAAGGATGCGGGGAGAACTCATGGCACACCTGTTAACGCAGTAGGGGCTGGGGCCAACCTGTTTATATCATGTACTGTGTACTACAACTGCAAGGTATCTTCTGCTCACCTGTGTTACATCGGGTACTGTATGACATTCCCCAATACTACCATTACTTACCTGTTGGCCCTTGTTTAAACACTTGCATTGTAAAATCCTTACAGTACAGGCTGTCCTTTTGTTTTAAATTAGGAGATTGGATACGTGGATAGGATATAGCCAAGATTACGATTCTTACTCCTAGGTGGAAAGGTGTATTAATTAGGCCAACGCTAATAAATATGAACATGTGTATAATTTGAGTGAGTATTGCTAATGAAACGTTCATGAGCTTGTCTACAGGATACCAAAAAGGGAAGGAGAAAAAAAAAAAAAATTACAGGCGTCTGGAACTTTATTAGCTAAAGAGACTAAAACAAAATTAACGTGATGCTGATCCTCATAGCTGCTAACTGGCCAGCTTCCAAGAAAGAATGAGTCAGCAACACAGCAATGTTGCATATCTCCAAAGTACGGTAGGACCAAAGGTCTCTAAACAAGCCAGCTTTATTTTCACCGACTTTATTTGTTGGAAACAAGGATGAAAAGTTGGGTCGGAAAGTTGCATGTGCACAAAGACCACAGCTAAGGGTGGGGGGGGATAAATATCTACAAGAGCATGTATTCTGGACATTTCTCTAGCTGGGATATAATGTTGTAAAGTTGTTGATACTCCCTGCATCCCGGTAACAGATGTGTGGTCATTCTGCTGTGTGGCAAGTGGCCAGCTGCAAAGAGAGGTCCTCCACATCTCCTCTACCTAGTTGTGCAGGATCCCAATGCCTGTGCCACATAGCCCAGCAGAGTAAAGGCCTGAAGTGAGAGCTATAAACCCAATAAAGATGTGTGAGCATCTCCAGCACCTCAGCTATCTGTTGCAGGTGGATTCTGGTGCCCTCAAACCCAGCAAAACTATTGCTCTACCAAGTAACTTAACATGATCTCTCATTTTCATTAGTGTCTTGAGACAGGAAATAACCACTCTTTGCAGGGGGAAAGATTAAGGTAGGATGCCTGGAATCCAGGCCACATCAGAGCACATATAGACAAGGAGGAACAGCTGCAGTAGAAGTACTAGCTGCAGGCCACAGTGCACTGTTAACCAATTTGGGAGGAACATCAAGGACACCAGAGTAGTAGAAAGACAAGTATGTGTTCTCGCATGGGGAGTCTGGGCATGGAGGAAGACAGCTGAATTGTATCCAGGCTGTTACACATGCAAACATGTCTGACCCTGCTTATCTGTGTAACACACAGATAATACAGTATTCTTCAAGCAAAATAATCTTTTCATCTCTAGAGCACATTCAAGTTGGAATCAATCAATATCAAGGCTCTCTGCTAAGTTCCACTCTGAAGTAAAGAGACTTATGAAAAACCCGAGTTAGAATATGCCTGACAACACCAATTCCTCCTCCACAAAAATTTATATTTCTGCTTTGGTAGGTGTTACATGAGAGAGAGACTAAAAAGAGACAAATTGTCAGCAAAGGCTGTTTATGGGGGAGGTAATTTATGAGCTAGTTAAAAAAAGAATTTTGAGGAGATCTGAAAACAGTTTTTAAAATCATAGCAGAAAGGAAATCTAGATGGCACAAATCAAGACAGATAAGTTGACCCTGAAAAAAATTAAAACCCATGGAGTGATCCAGCTACCAGAGATGCTTCCCCCTCTCCTTTATATCAGTGGTTCTCAACCTTTTTAGACCTGAGGTGCCCCTCATTCACCTTGTTGCACCCCTTCAAAAAAATGCTAGCTCTGACTTTTCATTCTTCTTTGGACTGCAAACAAAGTACTAGAGCAATTCTTCTGTTGCAAAGAACTCAGAAAGACCACAACATGTTTTAACACTCTGCATTCCTAGTTGAAGTCTCTAGGTTTACATTGTGAATCATGCTTGCACACCTAATAGTGCTAACATTGCATGGCACCCCACAACACCCTGGAAAGAATCTCAAGGCACCCCATGGTACCATGGCACACTAGCTGAAAAAAAAAAAAAAAATCCCCCCCCGCCAAAATCACTAGTTCGCATGGCTGCGTTATATTCATGTAACAACAGTACATCAGTGTTTACCTCCATCAAGCCTGTCGGCAGATGAGAGTCCTGCTGGGAAAAGGCTAAATGGGTTCACCTGGCTCACTGGAACTAGCATAATGAACAACCCATCTAAAACAACAAAGAAGAGATATAGTTAGGTCTTGTGAAAAAGGATGCAGAGAGCAGTAGTCTGAACAGATCTGAGAGAGGAAGCTTAGATGCAGACATGCCCTGGGAGAAAGGGTGTTAGCGAGTTAGATGTTATTTTTATTACTTCTTTATTTTTTAATAAAACCAAACCCCAAGAAGCACAAGTGAGTTTTCACACCGGGAGGACTGAGTTTGGAACAAGCTGGCCAAGGTGCCTGTGCCCAGTTGTGCAATAAGTCTTTTTTTTCCCCCTGCTGCTTAATTTAAAAACAAAAAAAATCTTAGAGCAGCCAGAGAACACCTATTACACACAATAACCATTTCCTTGCGCTGGTGCTAACAAAATAATTAAAATTACTAGAACATTCGCTATTTATAAAAGGACTGCCTGAAGGTCTCTGGGCACGTAATGTACTATAAATAGGACTGTACAGTATTTAATGGAAACGGAGCAGGAAAATCAAGACAAAAAGTATTGTTATTAACACCAAAGAAGAAAAACACCTTATTCCAAGAAATACTGTATTTACAATGAAAAGAACATTTGGAACTTTAGGAATTTTCCGAATCAAAGGCCTGGGAACACGAATGGCAAAGGGCACTGGAATAGCCAAGCAATTCAATACTGGTCACACTCTCCTGGTCACAGTTATTCTACAAGGAGCATGAGCCAGTGGAAAAGCTTCCTACACATAGAGAGGGCTCAGCCAGCTAAACAGTCATGTTTAGGAAGAAGCAGAAACAAAGGTATAAACTTGCTTATCCATATATGTCCCTAGTAAAAGTGAGCAGGTGGTGAAGTACCAACCACATCATTAAGGAGAAAGGAGAGGACTTTATACAATTATATTTTGCTTTTGTAAAGCCACCTGTATTCCAGTATTTCTGAAAATCCAAAGCAGCCTGGCCCAACAGATACAAATCCTAACAGACGGTACGTAGGTACTTGAACAGTTAATACTTCTACCTCGTAAGAAGATTACCAGGTTAAAACCCTTGGTTTGTTTGTGCAGGTCCTATATTATATATTCTTCTCATGCTGGTAATTTTATGCAAAGAAATATTGCAAGTCTTCAAAAGTTTTATATTTTCCAATCCTTATATCTGCATGACTTTTGTCAGAGATCTTTAATTTCTGGCATCATTCTTTTTAGCCTGTGCTTCTCACAGCAAACACAGCACCCCCAACGGCTGGCTGTACAGCTATAGATCAGGATCTTCCAAGAGAACCAGTTCTTGGAAATAAGTTAAAGCCTTTCCTTTCTGCGGTCATCACACACACTCTCATTACATTTTGACAGGCCATAGAAACTCATCAAGGTAAAAAGTTTAAATAAAAATGCTCTATGAAACTGTGGAATTAAGATCCTTTCAACCAAATTTCTTGTGTCAACATCAAAATGAAGAAAAATCTGTCCCAAAATGGTAATCATTTCTGGCTAGATGTAGTCATTTCAGTTGGATTAATTGTTTAAAAGGATTTTTTTTTAATGTGCAATTGTTTTTTATATTCCTGTTGTCAAACAATTTTCTTTTCAGGAAAGTTGTTTGTATTCCCACAAGAAAGTTAGTTATACTCCGAATTCAAAAAAGAAAATAAATAAATAGAAGACATTACAGTATGCACATACAAGACTATATAGCATGAGCCCCATTGCCCTCAAAGTCCAAATCCTGAACTGGCTGCCATAGTAAAGCTACGTAAGGAGGTATCAAAATTGTATGTGCTAAAGAGGATATTTGCATACCTGTTGCTTTGAAAAGGAGCAGCATAGGAGAAGATAAGATAAGAGCAAAGCAGCTAGCCAGCAGTAGAGGTAGGCATGTTTCCAGTTCCTTTGGGGACAGGGCACAGCTTAGAAAGCCCTGCCCTAAGGCACTCTCCTGGGCTAAGTATGGACAGTCAAAAAGCTGGAGGTTGAATTAATTCAGTCTTTGCAGGTTAGTCCACTACAGCAAATGCTCCGTTATCCGGCACCCATGAGAAATGGGGGGTGCTAGATAACCAAATGTGCCGGTTATCTGAGAGGCGTCTTTGCCTGGTTGGGCAAAGATGCCCCTCCTGCTGCATACAGTGCACACACATCTCAGATTAACCATGCTGCCCCTCCTGCCCCTCTCCTGGTGTCAGTGTGCCGGGGGAAAGGGAGGGGGGCTCCGTGAAGGCTGCTTTCCCCTGGGCTGTGGGATTCGACAAAACCAGAAGTCCCGCTTCTGGTTTCACTTTTGCCGCGTTGACTGGCGCCAACCAGCATGCCAGTTAATAATGAAGTGCCGGTTAACGCAGCTTTTACTGTACTACATTCAATCAGGCTTATTTTAAGCCAATTTCAGCCATTTTGAAACTGGTTTATGTGCACTGAATATCTGTTTTGTTACAGGTTTAAGCCAGTTTTCGATCGCTTAAACCTGTTTGTAATGTCTGTCTCTAGCTAAACTGGTTTAAGTGATCAGAAACTGGCTTAAACCTGTAACAAAACAGACATTCAGTGCACATAAACCAGTTGCAAAATGGCTGAAATCGGTTTGAGATAAAACTTGGTTGAATGCAATATCAGACTTAACCGATTTGGCTCAAGCCAGTTTATACAATGTCTGTTCCAGACCTTTGTGTGTAACTTCTGTCCCCAGTTCCCAAAAAGAGATTTTTCCAGGGTGCAGTGTAGCGCTCACTAGATTCCTTGAACTCTATCAGTGCAAGTCAGATTAGGGCCTAACTAGCCCTCAGCAAAACAGAAACTGAGAAAAAAGCAAAAAAACAATTATTCACACAATTATAACACTGAATAAATCAGAAACATGGACTTTAAGACCCAAAGTATCTGTAAGCTACTAATAGCTCTAGAATTCTAGTAAGAATGTCACAATTTATGGACCTAGGAATTGTCACATAGTCAATGCTCATTTGCAGCAACACCTGATAACAGCAGCTACCTCTTACCAACAACATTCCTCCTGGAAACCTCTTCAGGAAACATTCCCTATAACAGCAACAGGTATAGTAGGGCAGTAACAGGGTGTTACTACCAGACAGTAACTGGGTATTACTTCATGGTCAATACTTAGCTGCAGAGACAAAAAACTTGATGGTTCAGGCTGACAGTGTTTGACACCTTCCAGTAAATAATCTTAGGGAGAAAGGATTAAGAGAGCTCTGCTAATTTACTGGCAGCGAAACAACTGGACTCTTCCCAGAGGACCTGGTAATTATTCAGGGCTGGCTGGCCTCCAGCCCTTGAAGAGGCAAGCCACCCTGGTACAGTTCCTTATTCTGAATTTTGCATGTGTAACAGTCATCTTCTTTTTAAGAGGAAAGGAAAAAACTGGAAAACCCCCAGAAGTGTAATCACCTACGATAAATCAATCAGCACACACACAAGGAACGCTAGATTGATACCTCTATTAATCCAAACAAAGGAGTAAACCCTTCCTTTGTTCAAAACTGAACTCCACTCTGACCTGAATTTTTGTTCTTCTCTCTGTTCTTTTGGTTTTCTGATTTTGGGAAAGTCCATATGGAGTTCTCACAACCAAACAGCTCATGGAGATAAGCGATGCCAGCAAACTTACAAAGTGCTTCCACTGAAAGTGGTCCTCCCTTGTTTCAGAGAACACAAACAGTTCTGAGCATATTGGTGATTTTACATGTATATGAAGATCTTGTCATGTCACTGCATCTTTCACCCTAAATAGATGTTTGAGGATGCCTGCTACATCATGCAGTCTAAAGACAAAATATTTACTCTTCTACCATAGCTGAGATCATTTAACAGCACTCAACAGACACCTTCCCAACCCTCCCTTTTCTGCAATGGCAGTCTTAAAAAAAAAGGGCTCCATGCACCATAGCTAAAGCACCTAGCACCACAGTACCTAAGAAACACACACCTTCTTGCTTCATGAACTGGACAGAGAGCCAAGCAGTGTAGTACTGAAGTGCACTTTTTAGCTTCACAGATGTTAGGTACCAAGTTGCAAACATTCACTGTAAATTGTCAGACTCCAGACTTATATCTATCTATGGAAATCTTGCCCCGGCAGTGCCTGCCTTTCCCCACCTTGTGAAAGATCATTACCCAAAAATTAACATGCATGTTTCAGCCTCAATATTTACAGACTACAGAAAATATCTGTGCCTTAACTGTGCCCCTTCATTAGCACAATACAGCTTAAAGCAATTTTTTCTTATTAAACCAGCATGAATCATATGACAGAAGTGGCTCAGAGACACAAAGATGGAAACAAAATTAATTTTAAACCAGCATGAATCATATGACAAAAGTGGCTCAGAGACACAAAGATGGAAACTACATTAATTTTAAAGGAATATGAAAACTAGGACAGAAAAAGCTATGCCCACCCCCAAGTTACCTTCCAGACTCTTCCAGAGAACTGCAAGTGCTCTACCTGCTTGTGTCACAAAACTTGGTACAGCTTCTGCAACAGGATGACCTGTTCCACCTGGGAATCACCAAGCCTTATTCAGCTAGCAAGCCTAGTTAAGACATGATCAATCACTTAATAAAAATCTAGGAAAAATATATGAGAGGAGATACAGGTGGGAAATAGACTCTTCCAGCAAACTTCTGGGCAATAAAACAGACCATGTGCTGGTGATAGATAAACTCTTTTGCCAAACTTTTATAACTAAAGAACAAAATGGAGCCCTTCAGAAGTGAGTGTTACCTGGGCAGAGGAACCCAGCCAGCTGCTTACACTCAGGCAGCTCGTTATAGGCTCCACCTGTTTTGCACAAACTGACTCTCCTGATGCCTTCAACTCTTTCCATCAAATTGTAGTGCGCAGGTTTGTTATTACCCTGAAATAGAATAGTTTTCTGATAGCATACTGTTAGGTTTACAATAATTTGGATTATTAAGAAGTATTAGCTTTACAGCTGAATACAAGGCATGACCTGTGGCCTAGCAAGGCAGCTGACCACAAGGCAAAATGATAGCTAAGCCTTTGCTTGTGTCATACAATCTTTTTAACTGTATTAAGCATTTTCTGAGTTAAAAAGTGGATCTGTCTGTGTGCTAAAAAAATCAGCTACAGCAAGAAATAAGATAAGACAGGGAAGCTATTGTTCTGGGTGCAGTGGTTGTGTCCTTGAGAAGTATCTACTACTGTGTAAGGTTTTGCTAACATACTATAATGTTACTGTTACTTAACTTTTAGCTTTAAAAAAGTGCTAGTTCAGCTTAATAGAAATATGCTGTTACAAAGATTTGTAAAGCACCGCCCAAGTATTGCTTTTTTTGTTAACCATGTAGTCTTGCCTTGTTATAATAAGTATAAAAGATCGCCTCACCCTGGGGGCGGCATTTTGCCTTTTGCTGGCTTTATGGTCTTTGCTCAAGCAAATAAACAGCTGTCTTTCTTTACCCGCGTTGTCTGTCAATCAAATTACAGCTAGACAACGAACCTTAGGGAGGTTTCTCCCACCACAAATCCCTGTTCTTCTACACATCTCCTCTGCACTCATTTCTGCATCCTCCAGTGCCTCCAGTGTTGCTTGGAGTTTGTTTTGTTTGGTGTTTTTTTTTTAATTCCTAGTGCGAAATATCAAAGCCTTTTTTCTGAATTTAATTATAGCCCTTTAAAAATCAATGACCCGGTTTGACTGAGAGGGCCTGGGATGACGGCTTCTTTGACAAGTGAAACAGCCATTAGCAAAACCAACAATTTAGAGTTTATATATGAATACTTAGATGTGGAAAAACCCATTCCCACACAGGAATGAACCTCACCTCTCGATAGTGAGACCTGGGAGCTGGTATTGATTGTGTGCACACATCCATGCCTGCAACTGCAGTGTACTGAATTTGCACCGTGAGAACTTCGTGCACTCACGTAGTAGTACCAGAAGGTGCTGTGGGAGAAGGCACTCCAGGCAGGAGCATGAGAAGCAGTGAAGAGAGCGGGACAGAGGGTGGGAAGCATAACAGATCTGCAGGAGGAGTGGGAAAGTATTGCACCTGCTGGTTGGCTTGCTGTTATGTTCAAGGTACAGTCCTAAGGCCCTGTCCTACCTTCAGTTCAAAGCAGTGGAAGCCAACAACAGCACTATCTTGAAGGCTGAGAAAGATGCTGTCAAACAACTTGCGAAAAATTGGTGCTGCCTTGTTTTATTTCTATCCCCCTTGGGCTGGTTATTGCCCCTAAAACCAGGATTCTCAAGCTTTATTTAGACTTGAGGCTCCCCTTGGAAAAAGCCAGCTCTTAGTTCTCACTCATTTTTTGCAGACCAAAAAATAATAGAGCAGTTTTCTCCTGTTGTGAAGACCTCAGAAAGAGCACAGTTATAGGTTTCTTTTTTAAATCTCTGGGTTTATCTTGTGAATCATGTCTGTAAACCTTACACTGCTAACATTGTGGGGCACTCTGCAGCACCCTTGAAAGGATCTCAAGGCACCCCAGGGTGCCTTGGCATCCCAGCTGAGAATCACTGCCCTAGACATTGGAAAGTACTATATAGGCAACAATGACGCTATAAGAAAGTAACCTAGATTTTTTAAAACCAAGATATGGAGCAGAAGCATGTTATGGAAAAAAGGTAGGATCATATACCTCCTCAAGTGGCATGGTGCCACCATTGTACTGGCAAAAAGTCTACTTTTTCTTTATATTCTGTAGGTCTAAATAATCTATAAATAGGGAACCTTCCATTCTCAAGGACATTTTTAAACTACTATACCTTTCAATGCATACCATTGTGGAGACAGACATGAGAAAATGGTCCCAAACACAGACTGTCTGGATGCAAGCCCAGTTTTTGCACATTCCTGTTTTCACGTTATTGATTCCAAACTGTATTTGTTATGTTTCCACTGAAAATAAACAATCCCACAGTATGAAAATAGCCAGCTGAAATTAAAGACAGGCAATTGTAACAGTAAAAAAAAGTTTGGAATTAGCACTCTGGTTTTGTTTAAAGTTTTAGATTTTTCGGGAAAACTGATCCTTGGCAATGGAATAAAAGTAATACTTAAGTTCCTAAATTATGTGCATATAGATCTTCTGGAAATACTTCTGTGATGTGAAACATCTGTCTGTATAAACTAAGGCCCTGATTCAGCAATATCCATAAACATGTACTTTTAACTAACGTTAAAGGCACATTTAATTACACTGCTGAATTAGTGTGTGAGTACATACATCTATGGTTAACAAACACGGATAGCACACACTTTGGATAAAGATAACATGGCATATGTCTTTGGGTCAGTAGTGTGAGTTATAAGTGATCTGCCAAGGAAATAATGTTACTCACCAACTCTGTGATCACTCCCCTTTTTTCTTGCTTTGGCACATTCAACCATACTGCAGCTAATATTATTTTGCCCAACATTGGGCATGTCACCACAAAATGCTTAATGCCCATTGGACTAATTCTACTGCGCATTAGTGTGGCTGACAAAAACTGTGCTAATGCACTAATACACAGTAGATTCAGCCAGTGGGTATTAAGCATCACGCAAAAAGCATTCATCTGCACTAATGAGCAGTGGCTTTAGTCCAACGGGCACTAAGTGTCACACAAAAAGCGTTCGTCTGTATTAATTTGTAGTAGTGCCAGTTATGGTGCATTTAGTACCTGTTATTACGGGTACTAATGTAATGCACTATAATTATGGTGCATTAACGAACATGTAGACGCACCCACTGAGCACTTTACGTGAATCCTGGTCTGAAATGTCTCCATTACTTTTACGTGTTATTTTTCAGCAAGTTCAAACTCTTAAGAGCTCTATATGTATAATTCCCTGTCTGCTTTGTTCCCCATGTGAAAGGATTGATTTTGATTTAAGTAAAATGGACCTATCCATAGCTTTGAAAACATCACTCTCAGACTGTAACCTTTGTGTGCTTTTTCCCATTGTCTGGAAAAGCTTTACTCTTCACTTATATCAGTAGTTCTCAAACTTTTTTCAATTCCAGGCCCCTCTTAGAAAATGCCAGCTCTTAGTTTTCACTCATTTTTTGACTACAGAAAAATAACAGAGCAATTTTTCTGCTGCAAAGAACTCAGAAAGGCCAAAGGCCACAAAAAGCCAGAATATTTTTAACACTATGGATTCCTACTTGAAATCTCTGAGTTGACCTGGTGAATCTTGTTTGCACAGCTAACATTGCTAACACTGCATGGCACCCAATGGCACACTAGCAAGGATCTCAAGGCACCCCAGGGTACTGTGGCATCCTGATCTAGAATCACTGCATTGTGTTAAACAAACTCTCTCCATTGCATTAGCTTTCTTCATTTCATCATTCTTTAATTTGCCTCATGTTAAACTATGAAAACTTTTCATATTAACAATCAAATGTCCAGATGTATTGCGTTGTCCAGTGCCCTGTACACTGATCTGTTTTTACTATTTAGATTAGGAGCTTTTGTGATGTCTGTTAAATGCCTGTCCCACAGGTGTTTCATAGTTTCATAGTAGGTAGGGTCGGAAGGGACCTGAGCAGATCATCAAGTCCAACCCCCTGCCATGGGCAGGGTCAAACGACCCCAACTAGGTGATTGTCTAGCCTCCTTTTGAAGACCCCCAGGGTAGAGGCGAGCACCACTTCTCTTGGAAGTTGGTTCCAGCTCCTAGCCGCCCTGACAGTGAAGTAGCGCTTCCTGATATCTAGCCTGAATCTACTCTCAGTCAATTTATGGCTGTTATTCCTTGTTAATCCCAGTAGTGCTCGGGGGAACAGGGACTCTCCCATTGCCTGCTGGTCCCCCTTGGCAAGTTTACAGACAGCCACCAGATCCCCTCTCAGCCTTCTCTTGTGGAGGCTGAACAGGTTCAGGTCCCTTAGCTTCTCCTCGTAGGGCCTGCCCTTCTGCCCCTTGATCATGTGAGTGGCCCCTCCTCTGGACCCTCTCAATGCTGGCCACATCCCTCCTGAAGTGCGGTGCCCAGAACTGGACGCAGTACTCCAACTGTGGCCTGACCAGTGTCGCATAGAGGGGGAGCATCACTTCCCTGGACCTGTTCGTGATGCATCTGTGGATGCATGACAAGGTGCGGTTAGCCTTCCTGACCACGTCCCCACATTGGCGGCCCATGTTCATCTGGGAATCAATAATGACTCCAAGATCCTTTTCTGCCTCTGCACTGACAAGAAGGGAGTTCTCCAGCCTGTAGGTCTGCTGCTGGTTCTTCCCCCCCAGGTGCAGCACCTTGCACTTGTCAGTGTTGAAACCCATCCTGTTCTCATCCGCCCACCTCTGTAACCTGTCCAGATCTAGTTGGAGCCTATCCCTCTCTTCTAGCGTGCCCACTTCCCCCCACAATTTAGTGTCATCTGCGAACTTGAACAAGGTGCTTTTCACCCCCTTGTCCAAGTTGCCGATTAAGTTATTGAATAGTGCGGGCCCAAGGGCTGAGCCCTGGGGGGCCCCACTGCCCACATCCCTCCAGGTTGAAAACGACCTGTCCACCACTACTCTCTGGGTGCACCCTCCAGCCAATTGGCGACCCATC